TTTCGAACTAAAGCTGTATGGTTTAGACTTCGCGCGCATTCTGGGACTGAACACAACAGAATCAACAGAATCAGACGTGGTGCATCGGGCACATGTTTGGAAAGCAGAAGTCCAATGGAACCAAGCTCGAGCCCTTCTTTGGTCTCGGCCGTTTTCCACGAAGCATCCATGATCCGGGCATATGCCTTCCAGGCAGCCTCGAGACAACAGACGTGGAAAAGAAAGGAGGTGAACATTGCCCACAACAATTCGCACTACACTTACACTGTGAATGTCAAGCCGGACTGGCACGTCCGCTACGCCGCTACACATGACAACTGAGTTGACAACTGCTGGACCCATACAAGGCTCCTATAGTCACTATAGTCACCCAGCCGAGGAGCGCTGTCCTGATCCATCGCCTCTGGAATCAAGATGCCTTCCAAGGCAAGTTTCTTGAGCTTGGGGTGCATCTCCAGCATCTCGGAATTGGATGTAGCAGCGGAAAGCTGTGTCACAGCGTTCCCCAGATCTTGCCGTTTGGCTTCTTGGTCCACCGCCAGAAGCTTGGGTCGCAAAGCCGCCAAAATAGGCTCCAACTTGGACACAGCCTCTTCGGCGTCCCTGACGTTCGATTTGGCAAGCAAACAGGTTTCCTCCATCAAGCGCACGGCCGTCGTAGCCGGGCTTCCACTGTCCGCCAGCATCTGTTCTGCTAGCGACTGCAATGCCGAGATTGCCAGCACCTGCAACTCCTCGACGGCTCCGGCTCGAAGGCTCTCGTGGTAGATCCTGAGTTTACTGAAAAACTCGTGCACGGTCTCGATCTTCAACTTATCCAAGTTGTCTTTGCTGAACATGTTCGCGAAGGTTTCCAGCTCGTCTTTGCAGGATTGCTCCGCAAATGCGTAGGTCCAGTACTGATCCAACAAAGCCTGGCTAAGTGTTTGCTACTCTGCTACTATTACTATAGCTAGTGCAGCTACTACAGCTACTACAGCTACAGCGACTTAGACTTATTAACCTATACAGTAAAGACTCGGACCTAAACAAGACTCCTGCAGAATCTTGATGCTCCGGTTTGCTCTTTCCGATACACACGTCGTGACACTACAATGTTATGCATCCCGGCCAAGGGCCTTGTAGTGCGCAGAGGTCGTCAATGCGGCGTGCAACACGCCGAGCGGGTTGGCCATGTTCTTCTCTGCCGTCAAAGTCTTCACAAAGCTGGGATCAGGCAAGGACGTCACGCATACGTTCGTGCCTGACACGGCCGTCAGAGCCTTCAGACCGACAATCAGGCGATTAACGGCTTTCTTGCTTGCATGCTCCTCCGGCAACACAGAAGCCGACAAGCTCTGCTCCATCTGCCGGATGAGGGCCTGCCCATCACGCTATGGCTATGGCTATGCCACTATATGTCGACGCTCTTGTAGGCCAGGCCGTGCGATGCGGATCTATCAACTACTCTGTTCATTTACTGCCTCTCTACTGCTTAACTGCTTAATGTCCATGCCCATGCCATAGCCATAGCCGCCATGGCGTTCTGATGATCCCCCATCAGACCAAGGACCAACTGACAAAGGGAATGCATCCGTGACATCACTATATATACAGTATTTAAAATCCACAGCTGCTAAAATTGTGATGTGCAACGAAATGAACCCTTGGGCCATTGGAAACAACCTGCCTGACACACGTCGGCCAAGTCCTGCTGCTGCGCTTCACCCTCCTTCACGAGTCGAACCAATCGGTCAAGGACGGCTTTCTCGCACAAGCGAACCTTTGTCAGGTCGTCCCCGTCGCATTCCGCAAGTCTCGGTGCTCGCAGGTCGAAGGTCTTGGGCGACATACCCTCGCTCGGTGGCTCTGCCAGCGGGCACATCGTGTTCCAAAACTCTTTGGCGGAAGCTGCCTCGCCGCTGAGGGGAGCATCCTTGCTGAACTTTTGCACGATGCCAATCTGCACATCTTTGGGAATGTCAAGCGCGGGAAGCCCTTCCGAGAGACGGTCTTTCATCCACTCGTGCACCGTCACACAATGCACCTACAACTCCAGAATCCATAAGGTGGGACAAACCAACCCACCC